GTTAGCCACATCACTGTGCGCTAGGATAGGTCTACCAATAAAGCTAAAGATGAGCTTTTGGAATTGAGGGGAAACATTAAAATGAAACCGACCCTGCCAATTCACGTAGGTGCCTTTTTAATAAAGATGAGGATCATTTTGCTCCTTTTCTGTGTCCTTTACCTCCCTGAAAACAGCTGACATGAAAACATCAAATCACCTTTCTGGGCAATTAGAGCCTCACCTATAGTGATTTTAGGTGCTCATTTTAGTGAACAGCACAAGGATGTTTCATAAGTACTTTAAAGTCTCTAATGATGGAATTTAATATACAGCTTTGTTTCAGGGACCTGAAAAATTGTTCAAAGCCTCTATCTTCACACCCAAATAACTCATAGTAGTTACGTTCCCACTGTTTTTCCCGGACCACAGGTGTCACTAGCATCGTAGCGTGGCTGTGGAAGCTTACCCTGCTTCTTGAGCCGAAGTATTCAGAACAGTGAGTGTGAAATCACAACTTCTTCCACTGACTAGTGCATCAGGAATTTCCAGCAGCTTTCTTGAAGGTAACCGTCAACAGGCTCACAGGTCTGGAAGCCAGCAAAGAACTATGGGAAAAATGTGCACTCAGGCCAGAACCTGCCCTTCCCTTCCTCCTGGCTTGTGAAGTATGTTTCCATCCACGTAATTGAGAGTTGTGTTTGTAAATTTCAAGTGAAGGCAGGTGCACGAAATAACTTGAAAACTGGTTACCTCTCTGAGGTCAGTCAGTGCAAGTTTTCTCTTGGATATTTTCGTTAGCCATGGGTGCAGATTCCCATTGAATCTTTTTAGTTCTCAAGAAAGCCTGGGTGTACTAATGAGCGTAAACACTCAGATGAATCAGTGTTGACCAGGGTCCCAGCAGTAGTCTAGTCTTGTTACAGTAATATCACCTGGCTTCATGTCAGACTTCAGAGGCTACACGAGGGACCAGGAGGGACAGTGCCACACAGCTCTCTGGGGAAGTTCCCGCAAGGGCATCTGCAGCTCCCTGTCCTGCTTTTCTAAGGCAAAAGCAATTAAACTCTGTGTTGGATCAAGTTCAATATTTTGAATGTTCGCATATACATTTGCATCATTTGCTGTTATGTCTTGTTTTGTCACTTTTAATTGGTGCATGACTTACAAATAATAACATGTATCCACATTAGAATAAAGCTCTACAAACGTGGTCAAATGTGTGTTCATGTCTCTACTGTCATGGTCCCCTCTAGTTAATCTGTATGAAGCCTCTTCGCAGGCAAATCCCTCTCTCACCCACAGAACTTCACAAATTCTCCACTTTTATTGATTATTTTTACAGAGTACCCTGAACAAAAATCCTAGACTATGCAGGCATTGGCTCTGTGACCTTGGCCCCAGAGGACTGGTCCTGGGGTCCAGTCTTGCCAGTACCTCTATCTGTAGTGATCGCTTTGAGGGAACCCTCATGCACCATTGTACGTGCTGCACACAGCACTTCCCCTTTCTTCCTGTGAAGCAGGGGCTGGGCAGATGGCTCAGTTGAATAAGCGCTTGCCTGGCAAGTGCAAGGGCCTGAGTTCGCTCCCCGGTTCTGCAAAAAGAAAAAAAAGAATCCTCCTCTTTTGAAGCAGCTCCCTAACAAAATATTTTCCTTCAGTTTTGCTCATTTTCTTCTCTCTCTGTCTCTCTCTGTGTGTCTCTCTGTCTGTCTGTCTCTCCCCCCTGTGTGTGTGTGTGTGTGTGTGTGTGTGTGTGTGTGTGTGTACATAGTAATACTATGAAACTCTTTCTGGGAAGCTGGTATTTCATGATACCAATGTTAGACAAAAACACCAATGAATAAAATCTACAGGCCAACATCCCTTTCAACATACGTGCAACAATACTAAAGATGCTACTAAATCCAATTCGCCAGCATAGTAACATAATTGTAAGCTGTTACTCTATAGCATTTATTTGAAGCAGGTAACAGGGCTTCAAGGTATGAAAATCAGTCACTATCCAAATTAGGCACAATGAAAATGTTACCATTTCATTGGTGCAGGGCATTTCCCAAAATTTTACATTTTTTCATAGTAAAAATAACTCAGAAAACTTGGAATTGAAGTAAATGTCCATAAACTAGAATGATTATTTATGAAAACCCCTAGATAACATTGTACTCTACAGTGACAAATCTAAAACTTCCCACATGGCCAGGCATGGTGGCTCAGGCCTGTGATCCTGGCACTCGGGAGGTTGAGACAGGAGAGTCACTGCAAGCTCCAGGCCAGCCTGATCTACATCGAGAGACCGTGTTTTACAGAAATAAACACTTACTTCCACATAAGGTCAAATAAAGAAGAAGTAGCATGTCACCATAGTTGTTTAAAGCTGTACCAGAAACTTTATTCAGACCAATTAGAGGAAAATATAAATTTTTTTAAAATCTAAGCAAAACAGCAGAACTAAGACTATAACTACACTTACATATGATTTTATATACAAAAATTCTTTAAAGAGATTTTAAAAATCTATTAACTATAGTCTCACTACTAACTAATAGTCTTACCCAGAAAGGTGATAGGATTCAAGATCCCTGAATAAAATCCAATTGTTTCAACACACTGCTAATAAATAATTATTAAAAATCAAAATAATTTCATTTAGAACAGCATTAAAATGAATCAGACACCCTGTAGTAAGTTTAGCTGAGGGTATGTGAAACTTCTCTTTGAAAGATCCATACAGAAAGTTGCAAAACTTTAAATTTTTAAATAAATGGAAAAATGTTCTACTTATGGATTGAAACAGCATTAAGTGACAACACATGCACAGCGACATGTATGGATGATGAAACTGGCATCAGCATTCAGACGAAGTGTCGGAGAAACAGAAAATGCACTCTAAAGATATTCATTAGACTACAAAGGACTCTCCCCAGCCAAAATCGTCTTGACAGAAAGAATAAAGTAGGGTGACTCACGCTTTCTCATTCCCAATTTTTTTTTTTTTTTTTTTTTTTTTTT